GGCCAGCAGTGGCAGAGCCCAGCCCAGCCCAGTCCAGCCCAGCTCAGCCCAGCCCAGCCCAGCCCAGCCCAGCCCAGCCCAGCCGAGCTCAGCTCAGCCCAGCCCAGCTCAGCCCAGCCCAGCCCAGCCTGGCCAGCAGTGGCAGAGCCCAGCCCAGGCTGCCCCCAGCACAGGGATAAGGCTGTCTCTGCTCCCACCTCCAAGGTCCCCCCAGGAAAAGCCCAGCTCAGGCATTTCACAAAGCTCTGCACCTTTCTGAGCCCTGAGAAAGCCGTTTCAGGCATGGAGGTGGCTCCTGACTGGTGTCCTGACATGGTCTGTGCAGCTCCTGGGGTCACAGTACTCCAAAACAGACAAATCCTTTCCAATGAGGTAATTTATAACCCAGGATTAAGATACGGGGTCGTTTTCTTCATTATTTCACAAACCTGTGATTTTTAAATTGTTCTTGCTGGTTTCTGCACTAAGAAATTCACATTTGGTGTCAGGTTTAACCATCTGTTAACACACATGTGATTTTAAAATTCTCCCTCATGTCATCCTGCAGCAGAGTCCCCACCCATATGTGATTATCTCCACCACACAAATGTTCACTTGCATCTTCCCAACTCTCCATATTAATTTCCTGGAGAGTGCTCAGAAACCGTATGATCTTAATAGAACACTGGCAAAAGTTTAACCCAGGCCACAGAACATGCAAATATCGAAGCTTTGCCTCCTTCCCATGCTGCTGTGACAGCTGGAGCCAAAGACAGTTATGCAATGTGTGACTTCTCTGCTCAGGAGCTAAACAATTAATAATGGGATACCATCTTCACTAACAATCAATCTTTACTCTTGTTTCCCCCAAACCTCACAAACTCCCATTTTCTTTCCCATAAAGTTTCAGTAATCACCAAATCAACAGAAAATGCAGACTTTGCACGGTTGTCATTGCCCATGGAAGGGGGATTGGATCTTGAGGGGCTTTAAGGTCCCTTCGAGCCCAGCCCAGGCTGTGATTCTGTGAACATTCCCAAAAGGAGGGGGGAAATCCCTCCAGTCCCCAGGACAATGCAGCAGGACCCTTCCTTTGCCCCCTGGGACAGAGCCACTGCTCTGAACATCCTCATGTCAATGTCCCACAGTCCCAGAAATCCCAGCCTGGTTTGGGTGGAAGGGACCCCAAATCCCCCCCATCCCACCCTGCCATGGCAGGGACACCTTCCCCTGTCCCAGCTGCTCCAGCCCCAATGTCCAGCCTGGCCTTGGGCACTGCCAGGGATCCAGGGGCAGCCCCAGCTGCTCTGGGCACCTGTGCCAGGCTCTGCCCACCCTGCCAGGAACAATTCCTGCCCAAAATCTCTAAATCCCTCCTCTCCTGCCCCATCCCATTGCATCTCCAGTCTACTCTGAAACACAACTGAGGGAATCTCCAGGATTTTCCCCCGAGCCAGCTGGCAGCAGGTGGAGGAGCTGTGCAGAACCCGGTGACTGTGGGAAGGGGTTTGGCTCCTCAGCTCCCCATGGCAGGAGCTTGGTGAGCTCAGGGGTGTTCTGAGCCCCACAGGAACAGCCCCAGCCAGGAGCAATTTCTGCAAGTCTGCAACTCCCAGGAGCAGGGAACGACACACCACCATCTTCTTTCTCTCCTTCTGAGATTTAAATAGGTCAAGTCCCTCGCTCAGTGCAGGAAATTGTACATTGCCACAATTGCATTTCAGAATGGATAATGGGCCCATTTAAGTGTTATCATTAGAGAAACGACAGCAAAATACAGCTGGGCGAGTCCTCCCCCTTCCCCACGCACTCCTGTACTGTGATGCCTCTGAGTTATTCCAATCCTCAGCTCTTTGCCTCCCATCAGTGCCTTTCAGGGGAGAAATTGGATTCAGAGCTGTGCTGAAGGGAGGCTTTGCCCGTGCTGATCCTGCCAGCTGCACCTGCCCAGGTGAGCCTGGGGCTCGGGTGCTGGGGACACCTGAGCCTGCAGCAGCACCACAGCAATCCCAGCAGCTCAACAGCAGCCTCCCTCAGCAAAAATAACGAGGGAGAAGGAAAGAGAAGCAAAACTACATCCACACTTGCCTGTGGCAGTAACACCGCTCTTAAATTCTACATCTGTACCAGGGAGTCCAAGCGAGCTGCTCACACACAATTCTGTCACAAGTGTGGCAGGAAGGAGTGGAAAATTACGTTAATGAAACTCGAGAGCACTCAACCAAAAAGTATTAAACAGATAAACCAAAGGCAGAACTTTGTCACCCCAGGGCAGGCAAAGAGCCTTGGGCTGACAGCTGAGGTGCTGCAGGGCATGGGCACAGCCCAGGATGGCCCCTAGGATCCCTTCCACCCCAGGCCATTCCATGGTTCTGTGACCTCATCCCACCCCTGCCATGGCAGGGACACCTTCCCTGTCCCCAGTGTCCAACCTGGCCTTGGGCAGCCACAGCTGCTCTGGGAATTCTACCCCAGACCTCCCCCACCCTGCCAGGGAACAATTCCTGCCCAAAATCCCACCTGGATCTACCCACTGTCAGCTTAAAGCCATTCCCTGGCTCCTGTCCCTCCACCCCTTGTCCCCAGTCCCTCTCCAGCCCCCTGGCAGGGGCTCTGAGCTCTCCCTGGAGCTTCTCCTCTCCAGGTGAGCCCCCCCAGGTGTCCCAGCCTGGCTGCAGAGGGCTCCAGCCTGAAGGACCAAGCTCAGCAGATGTCCAGCCCCATGGAAAATACAAGAACCACAGGGCCAGGAGAGCTGAGCCCTGAGCCTGCTGCTCCTCCCCTGCGGGATGGTTCAAAGCTGCCTCAGGTGCTCCTGCCCGTGGGAACAGCCCTGGGGAAGGTCTGGGAGCTCCCCCAGGGATGGCCCAGCCCAGGAACTCGTCCCTCTGTAGGTTTGGGGCTGTGGGGAGCTGGCTCTCACCCCACGGCTCTGGAGCTCGGCAGATGCGCACAGAGCTGCAGCAAAGTGTGAAATGAGCTGTCAGTCAGCAGAGCCCGGCTTTGGATCACATCTGCCTGCTAATACCCATTGCCATCAGCTCCCAAAAAACAAAACCCCGCTCAAAATCAATAGGGCTTTCGGAAATTTAATTGCAGAGCAGATTTTTGAAAGCTGCAGATTTGACTTTGCCACTCCTCGCCAAAGAGAGGTGTCCATGAGTGCTCAAGTCAAATCCTTTCCACTGATCCTAATGGAAAATGCTAAAAAAAGAGAAAATGAGAATGTTAAACCCTACTAAAAGGATCCAGATGATTTACCATGCAATGGGGTTTATTCTTCAGTGATATTTTTCCTGACTGAATAAAATTAGGATGCTTAAAGGCTGCATCCCAGTGATCCTGATTAGTTGTGTGACTTGAGGGATGTCTGAAGGATTCAGATAACCAACACTTGGGATTACATTTAATTTCTGGGTGAATTTTGGATTCAGGAGAAACAGAGGAATTTCAGATTTTCCACAAGGTGGATAACAAGGTAGCACATGCTCAAGGCTTGCCTACATTAAGGGCTGCTCAAGAGCCAATTCTGCACTTTCTGTGCAGTACATCAGCAGAGGGAAAGGGTCAGCAGGGAGTTAATAATGCTGGGGGTGAGTGAGAGAGCAGCTCTGATGAGGAAGGGTTTGCTTGTACTCCAGAAACAAGAGAAGCACACTAAGCTCCCAGTCCCCTCCAACTGGGCTGTTTGCAGCAGCAGGGAGGAGACTTGATGGGAAGAGCTGTTTGATTTCCTTCACACGTTCCAGAGGGACCCAAAAGGCCAGAAAGGCTCAGAGCGTTCAGGGAAAGGCAGTCCCGGATAAAGGTGTGGGGCCAGGGTGGGCTCATGTTGGCATTTCATGGGATAAAGACCCAGAATGTACTGCAGGAGCTGCTTCTGTGTGGGGAGCTTCACAGAGCCTGGAGGGACAGGCTGGAAAAGCCTCTCTGAGCCCTGGATCCAGCCCTTCTCCAGGGAAAGCAGCTGGAAAAGCCTCTCAGAGCCCTGGATCCAGCCCTTCTCCAGGGATAGCAGCTGGAAAAGCCTCTCAGAGCCCTGGATCCAGCCCTTCCCCAGGGAAAGCAGCTGGAAAAGCCTCTCAGAGCCCTGGGTGCAGCCCTTCCCCAGGGAAAGCAGCTGGAAAAGCCTCTCAGAGCCCTGGATCCAGCCCTTATCCAGGGATAGCAGCTGGAAAAGCCTCTCAGAGCCCTGGATCCAGCCCTTCTCCAGGGAAAGCAGCTGCTTTCCGACCTCCAGAGCCTTGGCATTGCTTTAAAAACCACAGGGCAGGTGACCCATAAACCCATAAAAACCCATAAACCCATAAAAACCCACAAAGCCATAAACCCTTAAACCCCTAAACCCCTAAACCCATAAAGCCCTGGAGTTCCAGAGCCAGGGAGCGAGGCCAGGGTGCAGCAGGACACACACAGGGGTGGCAGGGGCACCTCAGGGGACACTCCCCACCTGCAGTGCCAGGACAGGGGGACACAGGAGCCAGCCCAGCCTGGCCACAGGACAGGGACACTCAGGACAGCCCCAGCCTCGGGGCCAGGCCTCTGGAGCAGTTTGAATAAAACCAGCCCGGGTATAGATGAGGACAACTCATTTCCAGCTGCCAAAGCCCCTGGAGCTGCTGCTTTTAACAGAAAGAAAAACCAATCCCAAGAGAACAATCCAGAGCAGAATTCAGATCAAGAGTGATAAAAACTGCTGGCTCTCGATACACCTGGGAGATTTCTCCCTCAGCCAAAGTTTATTTTCCAAGGGGTGCTAGGAGTCCGCACTTCCATGACTGGGAATTACCCTGTTTCAGAGGTTAAAGGAATCATTTTGTCAGCATTTTCTTACTCCGAGTGGTGCCAGCTTTTGATATTTTTATCAACTTACAATATGACATGTTTTCACCTCTCACTATCAAACAAATGCATCATCTTCAACACCACCACTTCTCACTCCACACAACACCCAGGACCCTGCAGACCAAATAAAAACCTGTTAAATCCCCTCAGCAAGGAGAGAGAGGAAAGGAGAAGCTGATTCTAAATAGGATGAAATTATTTTCTCATTAAGCAAATAGATGGGGTGTGTCAAACCAGGAGTAACCGTGGTTCCGTGGGATGGAGGTTGAGCTGGAGTGGCTGGAAAATTGGCCATGAGGAGGAGCTGAAGGCCCTGGTGCCTGTCCAGATGGGGACACAGGCAGCTGCAGAGCCCAGGGGATGTCACAGGAGCCCAGGGGATGTCACAGGAGCCCAGGGCATGTCACAGGTGGGCCACAGGGAGAACAGAAAGGGAAAGGTGCTGCCAGTGTTAATGGAACATCAAAACCTCCAGGAACCAAAACAGAAGCACCAAGCAAGCCCCAGCAGGGCAGGAGCTGCAATCAATGTGAGGAGGCAGCAGCAGCTCCTGGTCCAGCCTGGCTGGGCAGCAGCTGGAGCAGCAGGGGCTGGGAAACACAGCCAGAGCTGCATCCAGAGCTGCAGGAGCAGCTCCAAGAGCAGAGCAGCAGCGAGCAGCCCCACAGGGCTCCAGAGCCAGGTGAGCTCTCAGAGCCAGGTGAGAGCTCCAGAGCCAGGTGAGAGCTCCAGAGCAAGGTGGGAGCTCCAGAGCCAGGTGAGCTCTCCAGAGCCAGGTGAGAGCTCCAGAGCCAGGTGAGCTCTCCAGAGCCAGGTGAGAGCTCTCCAGAGCCAGGTGAGAGCTCCAGAGCCAGGTGAGCTCTCCAGAGCCAGGTGAGAGCTCTCAGAGCCAGGTGAGCTCTCAGAGCCAGGTGAGAGCTCTCCAGAGCCAGGTGAGAGCTCTCCAGAGCCAGGTGAGAGCTCCAGAGCCAGGTGAGAGCTCTCCAGAGCCAGGTGAGAGCTCTCCAGAGCCAGGTGAGAGCTCCAGAGCCAGGTGAGCTCTCAGAGCCAGGTGAGAGCTCTCAGAGCCAGGTGAGAGCTCTCAGAGCCAGGTGAGAGCTCTCAGAGCCAGGTGAGCTCTCAGAGTCAGGTGAGAGCTCTCCAGAGCCAGGTGAGCTCTCAGAGTCAGGTGAGAACTCTCCAGAGCCAGGACACCCCACACCCCACAGGGACCATCCTGCCCTGCCAGGACACCCAGCTGCTGGGACAGAGAGGCACAAATGTAACCTCTGCATCATTTAGGGAGCAAAACTGAATCAACACCAGGAAATGTGGGGAGAGGCGTGAGCGATGCCCAGGAGGCAGCTCAGATTTCCGGAATTTCAGATTTCCAGAGCCCTGTGGCACTTTGCACAGGGAATGTGCCACGATTTTAAGAGCCAGGGGGATACTGAACACAGCCCTTTAGCACATGGCCAGCCTAAACCTGTCAGGGGGCAGAGTGCTGGAGGGTCAGAGAATTGTCTGGAAAAGCCTCTCAGGCCACAGAGCCCAGCAGTGCCACCCCTGGCTGTGTCCCCCGCAGTGCCACCCCTGGCTGTGTCCCCAGCAGTGCCACCCCTGGCTGTGTCCCCAGGTGCCACCCCTGGCTGTGTCCCCAGCAGTGCCACCCCTGGCTGTGTCCCCAGCAGTGCCACCCCTGGCAGTGTCCCCAGGTGCCACCCCTGGCTGTGTCCCCAACAGT